CTCCCTGCTCGGCGGGGAGTCTGCTTCTCCCTCTGACCCTCCTCCCTCTCATGCTCTCTGTCTCTCATTCTCTCTGTCTCAAATAAAAAAAAAAAGAAAAAAAAGATTTATTTATGTATTAGAGAGAGAGCATGCACACAAGCTGGAGGAGGGGGAGAGAGAGGGAGAGAATCTCAAGCAGACTCCCCACTGAGCGTGAAACCCAGCATGGGGCTCAATCTTACAACCCTGAGATCATGACCTGAGCTGAAACTAAGAGTCAGACACTCAACCAACTGAGCCACCCAGGCGCCTCGGGAGAGAGAATCTTAAGCAAGCTCCATGCCCAGTGTGGAACCTGACACAGGGCTTGATCTCAGGATGGGGCTTGATCTGAGGACCCTGAGAGCATGACCTGAACTGAAACCAAGAGTCGGACACTTAACCAACTGAGCCACCTAGGCGCCCCCTACAAGGTGATCTTATTCATATTTATGTCCCTAGAGCCCTACACATAGTCTGACACATAGGAGGCGCTCATTAAATTAAAAATTTTGAAGTTAAAAAAATTTGAGAAGGCATATGATACAAATGTAAACTGTCCTAGACCGTTGGGAAAGCAGTGGGGAGCCTGGACTTGTTTGACCAATCCCCAAAAGCTAGTAAACATTCCCTTAGCAAAAAGTATTTTTAGGAGATGGAAAAGGAATGGAAATTCTGCTAACAGAAATGTATAGTGAGTATGTGGAACTTAATTTCTGATATTAAGAGTGGTAGTTATTCATGGTAGACATTTTCTAAAATACTGAAAAGCCTAAACAGGAAGATAAAATTGACCTATAATCACACTTGCTAGAGTCCTATGGTGAATCGAGGTTAGTATTTTGGTATACATCCTTCTGGTGTTGTTTTGTAGGCGTGTGTGTATGTGGGCGTCTAGTTTTTTTAAATAACAGCTTTATTGAGATACAGTTCACATACCATGGAATTCACCATTTTGATGTATACAATTCAGTGATTTTAGTATATTTACAGAGTTGTGCTGTCATTACCATTATCTAATTTTTGATTATGTAGTAGAGGATATTTGTATTTTAAGCCGAAGGAGGTGTGGCACAAGCAGTGGGAGAGAGAGCTAAGGACCATCTCAGTGCCTCTGAAGTAACATAGGGTAGACTTCCAACAATGCTGCCTACTGACTCAAAGGCCTGCCCTACGCCTCTTTTTAAACTAAAGAGGGGTTGTGAAGAATATTTGTTATCGAGTCCAAGTGCAAGACTTAATTTTTTATGGCAGCTTGAAATAAGCTAACAGAATACTGAATCTGAAATAAAGTGCATTCAGATTTACAGAGGAAAGGCACTAGGGAGAAATAAAAAGTTTGACCTTTTTATTTTAAGGAAAATGCTAGAATTCAGCTAACTGCTTTTTTTTTCTTTTCATTCCTTTATCATGATAGTTGCACTCGTCCTACAGAGCAGCCCAGTGTTGTGCCTTTGTCCATGACGTCTGTGATGAGGGCTTACCCTACCCTTTTCCAGATGGGATCCTGGATGTCATTCTCCTTGTCTTTGTGCTCTCTTCCATTCATCCTGACAGGTAACCGAAGACAAAAGGGCAAAGCAAATGTGTAAAGCTCCTTTATCAATCGTGGTTTTCAGAACTATCAAAAAAGAAAGTGACAATTCTTAAATTTATGATTTAGTGAACTACACAGTGTAGAACATGCAGCCTTTTAAATGCAGCTTTTCCTTTCTTCAGACTTGGAGAAAGAAACTGGTCAAACTGCTTCATTAGCTTTCTATCACTGTCAGAGAGAAGTGAGCATATTCTGGCAAGACACATACCTATTAAAAGTGACAGTGCTTCAAGGAAATTACAAATTCAGAACAGCCTAATAGACTCCCAAGAGGGAAATTGTACTTGGTGATCAGAAACAAACATCTTTGATTTAGCATCTTACTGAATGTTCGTGAAGAGGTAGGCTGTGAATCTGGTTTCACACCGGTCTGTCAACAAGCTTTAAAAATTTTGTTCTAAAGAAGTCCAGGGAAGTAGGGTACTCAAGATTTGCCAGATTAACCTTGGACCTTTATAATCTAAGGTTGGCTAGTGCCATCATTTAAATATTTATGATTTAAATTTTTTGTTCACACAATGTTTTGAAACAGTCAGCATGTCCAGAGAGGAAGCAGAAAGAGATATTACCAGCCATTAAAATAAAATAATCACTTCTGTGAAAATTTTGCCACCTCATATGTATTAAGGCACACTGTGTGGTGTCAAGGGTTGTGCATTTGTAAGTTTTCTTAAAATTGGTTTTTCTGCTGTGGTAGTAGATTCAGCCCCCGGAAAGTTCCTCTGCTGGTAGGTACAGACTTGACATCAACCAGTCTTTGTTTGATGAGTGTGACCCTTTCCCAAAGAAGCTGGGTTAACGTGTGCTTTTTCCTTTGCAATTACAAACTCACTAGGACCTTTTACAGTCCTTTTACTTCTCATTTAGAGATGAGCACTTTGATTGCTTGTTGAAAGACAAATTAAATTTCCAAATAAATCTGAATGAAACATATTTTTGCACGTGGTGAGAGATATCACATTCCATGAAGCTACGTTTTCCTCCCAGTTTCTATAATCTATGTCTTTGTGCTAATCTGTTTAGAATATTGGCATCATTCAGGTACTGGTAGAGAGATGTCATCTATGTATTTTGTTTCATAGTTAAAATAATGAATAGTTAAAAGGATGGAGTAGGTGGATAGAGAACAAGATTTTCTATTTTACACCTATAACAGGAAATGTTTAAATTCCAAATAAGACCACAAAAACACTACTTGAAATTAGTTTAGATAATGTATTTTCTCATGATTTGAACTGAATGTTAAAAAGAAGGGGAAGCAGATGTCTTAGAAAGATTACTGTTACCCTACAGTATGTTCATTCTATTTATTTATTATAAAATAAATTCAGATGTATCATGTCCCTAGCCACTTTCTTACCTATATGGAAATAATCTAAAACTAAGATGAATGAGTAGAAGGAAGGCAACAGTAAGTGAAAAGACAGTATCTTTAGGGTCATTTGGGACTGTGGTGGCATATTCAGCCCCATGAAAGTTTTAGAAAAGTGGCTTCTTGCCAGCTTGGAAAATCCATGCACAAATGAATGGTGAGCAGTTCTGCTAGACCTTGAGTCTGGGGGACCCAGCTTAAATGGGAATAAACCATAAGAAGAGCTAACTGTCCTTATCACTGAAATAAAAGAAAGTACAATATGTTTACCACAGATCCAAGCATAGTGTAGGCAATCAATATAATACTCCTTTTTTTAATCTCTTCTCTTCCTTTTCCTCACCCTCCATCTAGAGGTAGATGAGGATAGCAGAGTTGGCCCACGTCAAAGAAAGAAAGAAAAGGGGCCCTCTCCCATTCTTGTCTTGTCCATCTCCCCCAGCCCATGCCCACCTGCAGTCTTCAGGACTCTGGAACTTGGCACTGAGCCAAGCAAGATGGACTGATGAAGAAAAGCAGCTCCCCACCCTTGCCTTTACCTACAACCCCAGATGTTAAAGGATAGTTGGGAAGAAAGGATTTGCAGAGGGAGATGGCTGCATCTTGGCTCTTTGTTTTTCTGCATTTATGTTTCATATTTGTTTTAGTAGTAATTGCAGAAAGATATTTTTCTCTGTACATAAGACATTTATCCTGAAAGTGAATATTTTAAGGTTTAGATATGGTTTTCTTTAATTGCCAAAGCCCAAGACCATAAACATAGTGTGAAAATAACCTCTAACAAAATAAACAAGGAAAAATACTTTCCTTTTTTTCCCTTTCATGTACTTATGTTCCAGTTTTTTAAGAGAGCATTTCATTTAATTATGCTACCTCTTTCTGTTATATTTCTATCTTGTTTTCATAGTTACTTTCATTTTCTCACTATCTACTTCCTTCATAACCTGACATAAATCTGGCTTTTCACTCCTTAATTCCACTGAACAGTGTTTTCATTGGAAGGCATTTACAGATTATCTGATGCAAACTCCTCATTTTTAAAATAAGAAAATCTAGAAGCTTTAAGTAGCGTGGATAAAGCAGAGATGGCAAGGACTCAGCACACGGGCTGCCATTTACCATTCTCTGCTCAGGGCAGACACTCATAACTGATTTTGTACCCTGATTGTCATTCCTGGTGAGCTCTGTAGGCAGCCAATGTCAGTCACTCGGCATTGATATGAGATCTGAAATCTTTGCCATCTCTGACCCATAATCACACATAAGACCATGAACATTTAACCGAAAACATTAAGTCAAGAGCAGTCACAAGGGGTCGTATTTGATTGGGAGCCAGATGAAAAGAATAAATAATAAAAGAAAGAAAGTAAAGGCTTCCCAGTATTCTTGAGCTGGGGCTTGGAGTGTGACTAGAATTTAAATAGGCAGAAAGTAAGAAGGAGAGAATTCTTTGAGGGGAAACCATGTGAACAAAGGCATGGACTGCTTCAGAGCCTAGCATGTAACAGTTTGGCCAGAGCTGATGCTTCACATTAGGTCGTGGTTGGAAAGATGTTGGAGAGATTGAGGCCATTTGTAAGAGATCTTAAGGGCCCAACTAAGAAATTGAGATTTTATCCTATGGATTAAAGTCATGAACATTTTTGAGCAAAGGGATGATTTGACAAAACCATCATTTTAAGCAGAATAACTCCTCACTGATAATACAGGAAGAATTAACAGGGGGAATAATAAAGCATGTTAGGAAGTATTCTGTTCCCAGGCCTAAGGAGGTAGCAATTTGTTTTAAAGGACTACCAAAGGGAAACAAAAAGGAGACAAAAGGTCAGTTTAAACAAAGAAGACCTAGAATTGGATGACCAGATGGTTGTGGAGAGGCTAATAAAAGAGGAGGAAAAGAAAAGGGGTTAAGGATATCTCTGAGGTGTAACACTTCAGTGAATGATGGTACCTTTGAACTAAATAAAGGAGAAGGAGCTAGTTTTGGAGGAAACTTGATCTCTGTTTAGATAAGTGCAATTTGGGATGGCTCCACCATATTTTTTATCTTGCAAGGAAAAGGAAGCGACTTTGGCGTTTATCTGCCTTGGAACTACCGTAACTTGATATAAATACCAGGAACCATCAGTACATGCAGTACAGCTTTGACATCATATATCAAGCTCTGCAAAGACATCACTCTGTCATTTGGGTGATTACTTAATACTCTAGGTCTTTTGAATCTGATCCTTTAGCAAGTTTTGGTATTCTTTTTCCTTTCTGTACGAAGTATTTTTGGTTTTGTCGCCCTTATGTTTGTGGTGAGACTTTTTTGGCCCCATAGAGCTTTCCTTATTTTGTCTTTAAGAAAGTTAAATGTGGCATGTAAAACAAGATTTCTGCAGACAGTATCTTGCTTTGTTTTCAAAGGATGCAAGGCGTTGTAAACCGACTGTCCAACTTACTGAAACCTGGAGGAATGCTGTTATTTCGGGACTATGGAAGATATGATAAGACTCAGCTTCGTTTTAAAAGGGGTATATTCAGTTTGGAATTCTTTTCATGTGTTTTAAAGAATGCTTTGTTTATATTTTATGTCAAGTTTTTGTTTCGTTTTAAGGAATACTAAGTTTCTCTGATCACAATTATGTTTTTTAGGGCATTGCTTATCTGAAAATTTTTATGTTCGAGGAGATGGTACCAGAGCATATTTCTTTACAAAAGGTATGCTTATCTCTAAGGGAAAATAATTAGCTGTAAAAACTCTCTTTGGGGGGTGCCTGGGTGGCTCAGTCGTTAAGCGCCTGCCTTCAGCTAAGGTCATGATCCCAGGGTCCTGGGATCAAGCCCTGCATCGGGCTCCCTGCTCTGCGGGAAGCCTGCTTCTCCCTCTCCAACTCCCCCTGCTTGTGTTCCCTCTCTCGCTCTGTCTCTCTCTGTCAAATAAATAAAATCTTTAAAAAAAAATAAGTAAAAAAATAAAATAAAATAAAGATAATATATAACATTTTTAGACTAACCATAAATGGGCTTTCTTCCATTAGTGCAGATGTGAGCATGTTTTGGACTTCAGCTTCACATAATTCTTTTGTTACAGAGATCTACTTTCATTTCTCAGACCTTAAATATAGGTGGGAGTTTCTGTCTTTATAGCAGTGCCGCTGCCAGATACGATTCAGCCTTAATGGGAAGGAAGTCTTGTGGCCAGATGGGTGGAGATCCAGGTACAAGGCCATAAAGATAAAAATGGAAAGAAAAGGAAAACTATACAATAAGGTTCTGTAACAAAGATGAACCTGACTACAAGCAACTGCTTGTTCTGAGGGTTGGGGCTTCTTTAAAATTATGAAAGAAATTAGTCCATTGTTTTTATTTGTAATTTAGTTTATTTGGGGGATAGTCATTTCATACAGATCAAAATTCAAATAATTATTTTACAAACCCTGGCCCCCAGCCACCCAGTTTCCCTTCCCTAGAAGCAGCCAGTATTATGAATTATGTGATTTCCTTTCAGAAGTATTCTGTATATATACAAGTAAATAGGTGTGTACATGCATTATGTTTCTGTGTATGCACACGTGTTCTTTATCTTCTTTTTCCTAGCAAATGACTGTGTCATAGACATACTGTTCTACACTTTGCTTTTTCACCCAACATTAAATCTTGAAATTATATCAATAGGTCTTTTTTCTTTTTTGAAAGCACTTAAAAAATGTCATGTGTCTATATTGGGTGGGAGTAATTCTTCACCCAGGGATTAGGCCTGGTGCGTAGTAGTGTCCAAGAAATGTTTGTTGAGTGAAGGAGCGAGTGAATTAATTATTTTATTAATTTAAGGTACAAATAAAAAGAGGCAGAAAGCTAAGAATTGTCTGAAGTTCTGAGACTGTTGACCTAACCCTGACCCTGGGACGGAGGGAAATCTAAGGGATAACATCATAAAATGCAGATTTCTTTTAAAAAGGCATATCTCTTTAAGGCTTCATACTAGGAGATGTCAATAGGGAGAGATTCCTCTGGAGGTGGGTGAAGAATGGGACTGCCCCTAGATTCTGGGAGTCCTGGCCTGTTGTGACAGGGCTCCAGGACCTGGAACAAGTGGGTTCATATCTCTGTGCTGTTCTTTGTTCAAATGCAAAACAAGGGAGTTGGAGTAGATTATTTCAATGGGCTGTTCTGGCTCTAAGATTATGTCATTTATAATTCTGCAGTTTCCTGTCTGATTACCAATTTGCCCAAGATATTCATCATGTTGAAACCGCATTTATAGCGAAATAAAAAAATGAGATGTCCTTTCTTTAAGATAATAAAGAGCCCTACAGGTTATTGGTGAAAATGTGATTATTAAGAATTCCAAGATTTAGACTATAGAAAGTAGTTTGCATTGATTATATTCCTCACAAAAATTTATTGCCCAAACTATAAGGCAGAAGCAGATTTATGGGAATAAGATCTAATACCCCACACATTAACACATTTTGAGAGAATCAATACTCTGTAGTTTTAACCTGTAAGAGGCAAAAAAAAAAAAAAATCAGATAAATAACTAATTTAATAAAATTATTCACTAGTAAATGTAATTGTTATGAATGATGTCTGTAATATATTTAACAGCATTTATCAAATATATTTTGTTACTAAAAGAGTAACTAATAGTAAACATAATTCATAGTAAAATAAATCTTTTTTTTTCCTCTTTTTTTTTTAGTTAAGTATGAGAATGAAGCTAGTAAATATTGGGACACATTTTATAAGATTCATAAGAATAAGTTTTTCAAGGATCGTAATTGGCTATTGAGGGAATTTCCTGAAATTATTCCAGTTGATCAAAAAACTGAACAGAAGTTGCAAGAATTATCATGGGATCCTGCAAAAACTAGTGCTGCCGATGGTTTCTCAAGAACACGCTGCCCTCCTGTGCCTGAAGAAAAAAATCATAATCAGAAAAGGTGTGGCTCATCAGACAGGCAAAGCCAAGCGGGATCGCAGTTTTCCAGCCTAGACTCTGAAGAACACAGAAAAGGACCTCTGAAAACAGAATTGTTTCCCGGGAGCAACGCCACTTTCAGAATTCTAGAGGTCCTGTCCGGCCAGGGCAAAGATGGGAGGGGGCAAATAACTTTGAAATGTACATTCCATATGACTTTATGAAAATGGTCAAATCTAACTAAATAAGTGTTCTGTATACTTCTGTGCATAAAAAATATTTGAGGGACTCATGTCTATCATCAGGTTCTAAGTTTGGGTTTTAATTTTTTTTTTTTTTTTAAAGATTTTATTTATTTGCGAGAGAGAGAATGAGAGACAGAGAGCATGAGAGGGAGGAGGGTCAGAGGGAGAAG